ATCAGTCTATCTGGGGACCTTTGTTTGCATGTCATTCTCCCTCGCTCTCTCCTCATCAGGGGCCATTCCAGGATTTCTTAAATGAGGTGTCACAGGGACAAGAACCAGTCAGGAAAATCTGAAGGCAAAATACCCACAAAATGGTCTTAATATCATTTTAACGCCTGGCTGCATTTTGGACATATTTGCGTGAACAATGCCCCAGTCATCAGATCTGGTAGAACCAATAATAGTCCTAAATTGACCCTCCCTTTGATGGTTTAACAGGCGCTAAGAGGAACACGTCTATGACAGAGATGTGTCAGCACATGCGTCTGTGTCAGAGCAGAACCTGAAAGCTCTGGGCGTTGCTTACAGTAATGAATAGACACACCACGCCCTCAACTTTCAGCCTCAGCAGCTGAAAGATCCGGTTGATCAAGGTTCCTGATTGATGTTCACAAGAGAGTGAAAATCGCCGGCATGATTTTGTTATGACAACAAACCCGATAAAGCATTTTCTGCTCGGCTGCACTGTTGTTTGACGAGCTTTGTGGGCTTTTTGCTTTAGAAATTAACATTTGTTATTGCAGATGTATTCTCAGATCGGTTAAATCCGTTTCGCTCTGCTTTCATTTGAACTGTGAATTTGAGTCCTCAGTCGAAAAGGAGCTCATTAGGAGCTGTGACATATTCTGTGTGTAACTGTAGATCGCCATCGATTCAATATTTTGACACGGACGTCAGCAGCTCCTCAACTGCAACTGCCCACTCCGCTGGGTGCTATCATGTTAGCATTTTGTAGCCACGGTAGAAGACATGTGTTGTGTCTGTTTTTCTCTTTCATTAGCCCACATGGCAGAAAGCTGTTATATAGGAGCTGTCACCAACTGATTTAAAGTGGCATCTGGTTCACCGTTGGAGTTACTATGATACCTCTAGGTATAGCGGTTTAAGATGATCATTTTCTTTTATAAAACTGAACAAAACAACACTTCTTCTTTTTTTAACTCATGATGTAAATTTTAAGCTAATTTTTGAAACATTTTTTGAAGGCTTCTGTTAATTTCATAGTGCGTTTAATGAAGAACAGATGTACCTCCTCTTCCCCTGTTTGCCTGCTGTTTTGTTTCTTATTCATCTTTTTGATGTTAAATCCATATTGCAGTAGTGATGAGTCAACAATCGAAAAAAAGAGACCTACTTAAGCCTTTTCTGTCATTTTGTAAATCCAGGGCAAACATAGTTGTGCTGTAACTATTACAACCAATTAAGAACTTTCAGACATGTGTTAATTAAAAATAAATATATGCACATGTTCTTCTGGTTTTTTGATAACCCTAGCTGATTAATGTATTTGGAACACAAGCAGAGCAGGCGCACCCAAAACCAACAACAACTTTCAGATGTGGTGCTGAACAAATGTAATCATGTTCTTTTCTCACGGAGCTTTGCTGTACAGTTTATTTTAATAGTCGGAGGTAAACCCACAATTTTATGACTTTTAAACAACAGTTAAAAAAAAAAAGCTGCTTGTCCATTTTGTCTGTTGGTAATATTTGACTTCCTGTCCATCTTAAATATTTCTCAGTCTTTTGAACACCACACTTTAAAATACAAACAGTCAAAACAACTGAATAAACCTTTTAATGTTCATATGTAGCGTTTGAATAAATAACAGTGTGGTTTCCTGTCTGTCCAATGAGTAACCGATGGAACAAAACTACATGACGTCTAAAAACATGCCCTTGTATCTGTTGGCTGTTTTGTTTTTATTGATACAAGATAAAGTTTATGGACACGCGAAGATCGGCATTGTGTATTTGAAATCCAAACAACAAAGCTGACCAAAATAATCCGTTTCAGATGGAACACTTGAGTTAAGTATAAAACAATGTGCTCTCTGTGCTCTAATTGGTGGAACATGGAGCTCAACTCTGTCGACATAACATCTAAAAAACGCAGCGAGACGCATGAAAAAAAAAAAGGCCTTTTCAAAGACGATCGTTTTTCCCGGTGACGGAGAGGAAAAAAAATCACTGAAAGACGAGGAAGAAATCAGCGTAATTAGTTTGACCACCGTGTCATTTGAAACGGTATTAGCAGCAACAAATCAGAAAACAATAAAACATGAGAACAAAGATGAACTAAAGGTCTTGTGTTTCATGGTGAAACTGAAATCGATGGTTGTCAACGTGCATGTACAGTGTGTGTATTTTGATAGCAGTGAGACAGCATGTGTGTGTTTGTGTGTGTGTGTGAGCGAGTTAGTGAGTATTTGTGTGTAATCATGTACGTCAGGCCGTCATGAATGGTGTGTTTGAGACAGAGCGGAGTGTGGAGTTCCTCGGGCTGGACCAAATTGGAAACAGAAAAACAAACATTCCCTAGGAACCCCCGCTCTCTCCATCCACCTCCCCCCTCTCTCTCGTCTGCCGGCTAGTGGCGCAGTCCAACCTGTCTGGGACAATGTAACGGTCTATAGCCGGACCGGACCACACACGTTCACGGAGGGGGGGGGTCGGAGCACAGGAGGAGGCGGCGGATCTCAGCCGTAATGACAGTTGGAAAAACAGGCAGAAGAAGCATATGAAAATGACAGAGGGGCTCAGTGGTGGATTGATGGGAAAGACAGCGTGATGCAGGCGGGTGGGGGTTAGTTAGTCGCAGAGTTACTTTAGATGTGGAAACAAGAGTTGTTACTGTGAGGGAAACGGGAGAGATGGGGAATTTAAAAAATGAGATAAGTCATTGTGGAGAAACAAAGGGGGGAAAAAGAGCATAAGGAGAAAAACAGAAGGGGCAGGGAAAGAGTGATTTAAGTAAATGAGTAAGCAGCAGCCTGAGTCACAGCTCCACAGGGAAAATATTTAGAGTCACACTCGCTCTTGAAGAAAAAGCAAACTTCTCTCTCCCCTTTCTTTTCCTGTTGTGAGCACTCACTAATCACTATTCTTTTTCTTTCTGTCGGCCTTGTAGTCGGCGTTCTTACTTTCTTTCTGCTGTGACAGCCAATGCGATCATGTGGTCGATCGCATAATCACCGGAAGCCCGTGTGTTACGTGCGATCGGTGGGATTTCACAGTTTGTATCTTACATCCTGGAGCAAAAACATCACAATGACTGAGTGTGAGCTTTGTGTTTGTCTGGGTGTCTGCGTGCAGTCATACTGTGTTTAGCAGTGACAGAGCAGATGTTCTCATTGAGGAGGTTACATTGGCTCTTATAATAGGTTTCATCCCAGACGTCTACCGACCGTATTTATATCCTCTAAAAAAAACACTGTTTTAACTTACTGTTTTAAGAGGGGAGGGGCTCTTAAAATGACTCATCATTTCAGTAATGACTCACAATGTGCTCTCCTTTTCATGCCAGCGGATCTTTTTTTCTTCTTCTTCTTCTCTTTTCTTTTCAAACAGCAGATATCCCCTTTCAAATAACGACACGCTCCAGTTCTCCAATGGCTGGTGTGTTCATTTTCTATCTATAGTCTATAGGAAAGTTAGAACTGGATGTGGATGTGGTCAGGACCACACTGCACCAGGTAAACAACTCAACAGGTACCCTGGAATAGTAAAGACGACAGCCCTTCCTTTGCTCGTGCTGTCTTTCTTGTTCACGTTGCATCTGAACTTCTTGGACTTCCATTGGAAACATAAAATAGAGAGACGGTTTGACACGCACTGCCTCAGAATAACAAAGGCGATAAAACAGTGGCTTTATTAGCGACCAAGAAACAAGTTCCAAATATAGACTCTGCTCTGAAGAGTGTGTGTGTGTGTGTGTGTGTGTGTGTGGATAAAAGACAAGTCTTTGACAGACACACACACCTACATGTGCACACACACACACACTAGTCTGACTGACCCGAGGAAACGGCTTTGTATAAATACAGACTCGGATTTAGATTTGCGGTGAGAGGGAGAAAGAGGCAAGATGGATGGAAAGAAGAAGAAGGGGTGGCAGAGAGAGGGGAGTGGTATAGGCGGAGAGGGTGGGGTGATTTTTGTGGTTGGGGCAACAAAAGGGGGAACTGAGAACTGGGAGAGTCTGACATTTAACACTAGAATTACCGAATCAAGAAATGTCAACCGTACACAGCTTCTGGAAACTTAATATGCGACGATGAATGTACTTACTAATTCCTGGAAATTGCTCATTGATGACTGCTTTGTTCCGACTCGTAAAGCAATCAATATTGAAATAGAGTGAATAATAATTGTAGAAACTTTGAAAGAGAGAAGTTGTGTGCGGGTGCCGCTGATTGCCACCACGGGGCTGTAATTGTTTTCTAATTTGGATTAATTCCTGTGTGGTATTATCAGTGGCTTTTGTGTCACACTGTAACTAAACATAATATTTAAAGTATCTTAAGCTGCTTGAATATGTTGTTGCCAATGTGTTTGTTTTATAGATAGTTGCTATTAGAGTGCTCCAACATCTATAAGGCTCCCCTCCCTCCCTCCCTCCCTCCCGCACGCATGCATCATTTGAACTCCCTTGAGTTTGGCCATATGCACTAACATGCTTTTTGATAAGTCGGATGGCTCACAGCTTTCTAACTCATCCCTTTTGTTAATTACAGATTTTAAAGAAAAATATGAGGCAAAAAAATCCCCCTTTTTAAAATAACAGGTTTCTTTTCGAGAAAAGCGGCTTGACACTTTCCCTTGTCAATGGCTCACATATTTTTTGATGTTTTACGATACATAATCAGCAGCGTGGCTTTATCCCGGGGCCTTAAAACAATCTTCACATGTGGAAGGCTTCATCAGCTGTCAACTGTGGTGATAAAACAAAATTGGTACAATTAGAGCGTTTGACTGTGCTGGGGACTCAGCAGGGCACTACATATTTTTGCGTATCGTGCACCTTTGATCTGCTCAGTCAATTTGGATGTCTGGACAAAATTGTTTCCCGTACACGTCAAATAGAGAAAATGTCTGGCTCATATATGTTTCCAGTAAATGTTGCATAATGTGCACTTTTCTAATGTTATTTGTCTTTCTGTCATTTTCCAGGTTGTGAAAGCGATGGTTGACTCTGACAACCGTGACTGAGGATCTAAACTAGAACCGAAAAATAAATAAAAGAGCGGAAAGCAAGAAGGGGTCGCTTGCACGATACGTGTTACGCGGATCTACAACACACTTGATCAAACTCAAAGCTGAGTTGCCCAGCTGTTGAGCATAAAAAGGAGCAGCAGCAGCCCTGGACCAAAGGTCGCCGATGCTACGCGGAGTTTCAAGACCTTAAACAAAAAGTCAAAGAAGCTGAGAAAGTTTTTGCTCCGACGTTCACGGACCTGTGTGGAGTTACGTGCACCTGATAAAGAAATGGAGGGATATTAGTTTGGGCCTGACGCCTGGTTTCTGCTTCCCATTATCGCGTGGAGTACAGAGGGCCGGTAGCCCAACTGTTGGCTGCTGCTGCTGCTGGACGGACCGGGCTCGGCGCTGGGTCCAGTCAGACCGCTACAAACAGAGCTGATGCCAAGGCCAGGAGTCAGCCATGATGTTTTTATAACCTGATGATCAGCAGAGGTAGGACAAAAAGATCTTTATTCAGCCATTATGGGTGCATGAGTTCCTCAAGATTACGGTTAATCACTAGGATTATACGACATCAATCATTTGGAAAAAATAATCACTTTTAATAACGTTACTATTTATGTAGTACAAAGTAATGTAGAAGTTATTATCATATGTGTTTAAATTATATGTCTGCATGCTTCAGTAATTAGAATCCCTTGTATTGCTTTTTTTTTTTTTTACATTTCATCCCTCGTCATTGATATGTTCTATCAGGGGGTTGTTATTATTTATCATCATAAATTGTTCAGTCTGAGTAATTATTGTTTATTAATTAATCTCTGTTGAACACAAACATCTTTATTCATTTTAGCATTGTTAAATTATGTAGATTACAGAATGCATTACAACCTTACTAGAATACACTGCAAATAGTTTCATTCATAATCTGAGACGGTGTGTGTGTGTGTGGTGTGTATGGGCGTGCTTGAGAGCCATTTTTGTTAAACAACCACCCGATTCAGAATTTTGTTTAAAATTTAAAAAAAAACGCAAAAAGGCATGCATCATTTGTTTAGATGAAAAGATAAAAGTTTGAATCTGCATCTCCTCTTACAGCAGCAGCTCGTGAGAGGGCGAGAGAGAGTGTGTGTGTGTGTGTGTGTGTGTGGGGGGGGGGGGGGGTAGTTTACCGAGACCACAACGACTGCTGATAAAATGGCGTGGATGCAGAGCAACGGTGCTCTGAGCAGTTTTATGGAAAGCTGCTCTTAGTCATCACTGTTGGAGGAAGTGACTGCGCGTTTGCTGCGTTACTTGTGAGGGTGGAAAACCGTGTGTGTGTGTGTGTGTGTGTGTGTGTGTGTGTGTGTGTGTGTGTG